ATCCTGTGATTCTGTGAGCACCAAGAGCACGCCAGCCACTTTCCACAGGGGAAGGAGGGCGGCAGGAAGGGCAGGCAGGGCTGTCACCCCCTCTCCTCCCGCTCTCCCTGTGCACTGACCAGCAGCCCTCCGAGCTTCTGAAGGAAGAGCTGGATCTGGGCCCTGCAAGAACTGTTGGGTCCTGTGGTTAGTTTGGTCACTAAATCATTGTAGTGACAGTCACAGAGCAAGTTAAGGGCAGGAGGACTTGAGCTTCCAAAGTCCACTGCCCAAAGCACAATGTTGCAACAACTGCAATTTCTGCAGCATATCAGAAAAAAATGTGATTTCTTCTGCAGCATCAGTAAAGGTATATCTTGTGATGATCAACAAAGTAGCTTTCAGCAGCTAGCAACAGAAAAAAGAAAAAGAATATAAACAACTTGCAAGATTTTCCAGGGTATTTTTGAGCACTGAGGTGATAAGAAAGTGAAAGGGAGGAGGGAAAAAGGAGGAGCATTCCAACAAGGCAAGGCAAAATACAGAGGGATTTGCTTAAAATAAGCCACATATGCTGCACAGCATCACCAGAGGACGCCTGTCAAGACCGGTATTCACRATCCACTGATAGCAACAGACACCTTAAGGGTGATGTTTTACACATACCTTCAGTGCCGATGCAGAGGAGATGCGACAGAGATGTTGCACTTACACCAATAAAAATATTTTGGCAACGTTTTTCTTCAGCTTTTTTTCCTGCTGGCTACCACTGTTTTGCTGCATGCCTTATAAATATGTATACCTAACGGGAATTCGGGTGGAAAAAAGCAAGATTCCTTAGCAAAAGGGATCTCAACAAGAAAGGAGAGAACAACTGCTTACTGTTCTACAACACACGTTTCTAATTCAGATAGGCAGTCGCATGCAAGTGGTTCCTTTTTTAAATGTTCACAGCAGCAACAGYAGCAGTGTTACCTTTGCTGATATTCAGTTTTGCTTTTCTACTATTTCTTTTTCTTGTTATTTGCCAACCCTGACGCAGACAGGGGACTTGCACAATTTGGGGCCTGGCTGACATTTGCCAGGGAGGCATCCCTGTGTGTACGAAATCCTAGGCCTGCAAAGGCAGAACCTGGAGAGTTGAATTGTAAATATGGTGGAATCTCTATTGGAAGAGATTTTGTTGTTTTCGGCAAAACAACAYCCGAATCTGTCACGCTCGTCTTGTTTCCATTAGGACACTGGAAATGAATTTCCATTTTCCTGCTACCTTAAAATCACTTCCTTTGGACTCTAGCTGGGCCCTTAGCTGAATCCATACAGATTGCTAAGATAAAGGGGGAAGGAGGGAAATTGCAAATCAATTTCCACACTTTCTGCTGTTTTATGTCACCAAAAACCTCAGCTCCTTTACACAAACGAACATGGAGGAGTGACAAGAGGACTGAACTCTCAGTTCCTAGGGGGCTGAAGAGTTTAAGTTTCAAGTAAAAGGCAAGTGAGATTAGTGGGAATAAAATACACGTAAATGAAAACAGAAGCGTTGCTGAGGAGCTTTCCCACTTGCCTGGACGGATGTGAGGGCTGGAGAGGGGCCGTGCTGGGCCCTGCCTGCAAGCAGCGCTTTGGGAGAGCCTCGCGCCCCTGTAACAGCAGCACAGAGCCCTCCCCAGCAGCCAGGGACACGCTCCTGCTGGAACAGGGTGGGAAAGGGCTCTCAGCCCCCTTCTCCTCCTCAGTGTCCTAAGCTCCCAGTTA